GTTGAAAGTGGGTGAAAAAATGCACTCGCATTGCGAACACACACACACACACACAGACAGCCTCTCAACAACATGGGTTTTTGCCGGCTGTAGCAGCGCTATAGCGCTGCACAGCAAAAATGCATAAAAATTGCCAGCTTTATAGCTTGATAATCTTGCTGTAAGCTTTTTTTGATACCATAGTATCGAAGAAACATTACATTTCAGGATTCGTTGATCCGTATTTCCGCACTGTTCGTAAACAAATGCGGTAAATTTAAAATTTATAGCGATTACTCCGCAGCCTATTTGCGCTTTCAGCAGAATAAAAAAGGTTCGATTTTTTGAGCGATGGATTTGAAAAAGTGTTACTTTCGAACTGAGGTTAACTGTTCCTTCCTGTTAATGAGTTATCAGTCCTTTTGTAGTTATGTGCAAAGGAGATAAGCTCGTAATCAACTTGCTTCTAAAGCAATTATAGAAAGTGGGAACTGTCGACACTTTTTCCATTAGGTAATTCCAACTGGCAATGCCCAGACTATGGCAGTCGGTTCCATCTCTTACAGACAGTGAAATAGAAGTGGTTTATGACTTCCCACTCCGAAACCATGGATGTGGACCTTAGATTATAATAAGTGCTCCAAACCAACAATTTAAATTGGGTGGACAGTGTCACTGATCATGAAATGTCTCCATTTCAACCTAATTTCTCGAAGCTCATCTCGAAACCCAAGAATGGAAACAAACAGCTTGCGTGGAACGGGAGTTAAAAACTTCTTTAATACACCAGAAATTGATTATTCTGTGTTCAGAACGAGTGGCTATCGAAACTCGTTTGGAGAAGCTTAATATTAGCGGAGAGCAAAGTGAAAGCGCCCAATCGCTGCTTATTAAGCCAATACAACGAGTTTTGAAATATCCCTTGTTTCTGCAACAAATTCGTGATAACTGCGCAAAAGGTTTATTTTTCGAAATAACATTTCGAATCTTATCACTTGCAACCATTTTTTGATCCCGTCTTAGTGCAAAATCTGTAAAAGTCTCAACGAAAAAGATGTGTAAAAATCGCATCCTGTCACGCGAAGGCAGATGAGTAAAGAAAGGTGTATGCTGCCTTGGAGGTAAATAGACAAAAAGAGAAATGCTCTTAGACTGTTCCTGTCTCACACGACCGGTGGTGCAGTGGTTTAGCACGCCGATATTTTTGTGTGAAAATGAGTACTTCGATTTCCTTTCGGTCAATATTCATTTGCAAAAAAAAGGTTTGTTTACGGTAGGCATGAGACGTTTCGGTACTTTCAGATTAAAAAAAAAAAAAAATCGCTTCACGATTCACTAACGTAATCAGTAGGTGAATCACTAGCGTAATCAATAAGTTCTAGATTTCTATCAAACCAGGGAGTCAGAAACGATCCCAGATTTCTGACATAGAACACCATTGTTAGTACTTTTGTGGATCCAAGGTTTCTGTCATCCCAACTATTTCCGAGTATCTTTGTTTTTATTTAAAAATATGAAGTGTTTTTGGTTTGTGGGTATTTTTTTCAAAGTTTTGTTACATTTTTTGCGTTTCATCCAGAAACTATATGCATCAGGCTCTGTGGAGAGGCAACAAAGCGAGCAGGCGCTTACACGGATGCAAGCATTAGCTGAATATGTCAATGAAATGCAACGACTGACCGAGCAGTACGGGCCAGCTATTGAAGAAATTTCATCAAAAAATAGCGCGGTCTGAAATTTACTTAAAATATTTTTTCAAAAATTTGTATCCTAGCGAACATGGGGTAGTGGCAAATAGCGCTGCTGCCGTGTAGGAAGACAATGTTCGTCTCCGTAAAAGACATTTTCTCTACGATTCAATCATTCATTTCGATAGTAAATTAAACTTCGATACTTTGATTAGCTGTTGTTTCATTGGCACATTACTGGTCGCCAGTCATGCAATTGGCAGCTCCTCCATTCTTCTCCTCTCTCATCCACATAATTCCACATACCCGTTCAAGCGGATCTGTCCATCGCACTGATGACCTTTTCTGCGTTCTTTTAAAA